GCTCCGTGTACAGTCACACTAGGTACGCTCCGTACCTCGCATGACGGCACACGGAGCGTCATGCATGATGCACGTCCTGGCACCACGGCATTGGGCCAGCAATCGATGCTGGGCTGTGCTGGAGTCAAAGCCGCCGTGGCAGATGTTAAGCCTCCCCGGGGCGGATGGGCCCGCACAGCGCCTCCCACACAAACCGAAACTGCTCAGGCGGTCACGCTACAGCCGCAAGGCGACGCGCCCGACGATCCGACTGTCTGTCGGAGGAAGCCCTCGCGAAACGGCAACACCGCCACCCGCCTTCGGACGGCCACGCTGGGCGCGGTCGCTCCAACCGGCCTGTCCGCACACGGCCCGATCCCGGCCGGGCTGGCCTACGTACAGCACGCCACGACCTCCTCGAACTTGTAGATGGCCGCATTGACGGGCTGCGCGGTCCACGGGTGCTCGGCGGCGTGCGGCAGGCGGAGCCGCGTCTGCGGGCTCTTGTCCAGCAGGCCCGCCAGCAGCTCGGCCAGCTCTGGCGGCGGACGGGGCGCCGTCACTGGCGGGGCACGAGGCGCCGGCGGCCACCGCGCGGACGGGAGGCGGTCGGGCGGCACGGCAGGGCAGCAGGGGGCGGGCCGGCGATGGCCGGCCGCCGGGCCCGGCCGGTGCGACGTGGGAGCGACAGCGACTGATCGTCAGCGGTGAATGGTGCACACGAGACCAGGAGTGCGCTGTACGGCCTTCCACAGCATGACCCGACAAATATTTTGCTATCCTATGTTCTTTGAGCAGCGAATGCGGAGTTTCGGGTGGACCCATGAATACAACGTCCCTCAGCTGAGCCATCAGGACACAATACACGCCACCGTGGTCGGTGCGAGTCAACATCACTTGGTATCACCAGCGATTGTGACACACAAGGACGTTATTGTTATCGACATGCCCGGCGGCGTCGCATTTCACCGCGCATCACAGTGGCAATGGCTGGCAATCAAGACCGCCCTGAGCGCCGCCACACAGCCGACCGGCCGAACGGCGCCGCGCCGCGCCGGAGCGCGGTCGGCGGCGGACGGCACCCACCTGGCGTAATGCCGGCCGGCAGCCGCAAGGGCTTCGAGATGGTGTCCTCCACGTCATGGAACGGGTTCTCGCCGCACAGCAGCGTGAACAGCGTCACGCCCAGCGACCACATCTCCAGCATGTAGCCGTCGTACCTGCCACACGACACAGCGCGCGGCGTCACAGACCGACAGCTCGCACTCAGCACGGCGCCAATGTCCGTCGCACAGCACGGCGCCGGTGTTCGTCGCACAGCACGGCGTCGAACACCGCGGCCGCACATCCTACACGCGGCCGTCCAGGCGAGCAGGCCAGACGAGCACACTTCTAACATAGCAGGGCGTGGACGAGTAAGCGGCGACACGACCGTGGCAAGTCCATGTTGGTCTGGCCACGAGTCATGCGTTCAAACTTTTACAGTTGGGGAAGGCGTTGCAACCGGAGTGGTACGATGCTTTGTGAAGTTGTGAAGCTTTGCGTACAAGATGCCCCAGAGGTGAAACGAGTTCCATTCATCGTTTCACTGTTTCTGACCGCGTCAATGAAACCATATTGCACTGATGACTTGATTTGCGCCTTTAATATTCAGATATGTTAAACCGCACCACCGCCCGCCGCTGTGTCGGTGAGCTTCGCCCTCGGAGGTGGGACCGCAGGGCCGCTGAAGGCCGCGCCCAGCCGCGCTTGGCGAGCTCGCGGGCCGGCAGGCGCGCTCCGCCATTGCACCGAAGTGCTCCCAAATACTTTTGTGATTGAATTCCTGGCCAATGCAGGACTCAGACCTGATCTAAAGACGCCACCACAACGCCCAACCCGTGCTAACGTGGATCTCTGGGAGCCCACGAGTCCGGTCAAACTATGAAGAGCGCGCTGCGGTCTGAGGTGGTAGCATATCTAGACAAATTTGCTGGAACGAACGACCTGCAACGGTCAAAGAGCTATCGAGACAATTGTTTGAAAACCCCGTTGCGTTGTGGAGGACAATCAAATGGGCCATTCGGAATGCAATAATATAGGCAATGTACATCTGAAACACCGCGCTGTCACAACCCAGTTCGATAAAGATTTTTATACGCAGATTATTTATGCACCGGCATGTGCTTTGGACGTCAATGAAATATCTGATATGAAACGGCCCGATAACAAACTGTTCAAATACACGGTCACGAGCACATGGCTGAAGGAAGCGTATCCCCGAGAGCACAGGCTGACGGCCACACACAGCCGGTGAACCCACGCGTGGATGGACACATCAGCTTCAGCCGTTATCAGGAGCCGGCCGGCGCCTACGCGTTCTAGATGTCTAAACAGCTCACAGCGTGGTTTAAAGGTCGCTATCGCGTTCACTAGATAGTGCGGACACCTCGGCCGCTGACGTCAGCCAGCGCTGCGCAGCTTGACGCGTGCTATCTCGAACCACGCAGCGCCGCTGGGTCGGGCACTCCACTGCCCGGAGGGTGACCCCGGGCAAGGCCACGACCGGGCCGAGCACTCCACTGCCCGGAGGGTGACCCCGGGCAAGGTCACCACCGGCCTGAGTACTCCACTGCCCGGAGGGTGCCCCGGGGCAAGGTCACCACCGGGCCTAGCACTCCTCTGCCCGGAGGGTGACCCCGGGCAAGGTCACTGCCTCAGCGCACCGCGACAACACGTCCGCCGATGCTTTTCACGTACGTACTCCTCCCCAGGCGCGCAAACAAGATTCTCTTTGAGGAGAACGGTACGCTCAGTACTGCTCATGTTTTAAAATCCCGACCTGGAGTCCTAAGAGCGGATGTAAGGCGAAGGAGGTAGGCGAGGGGAGGGGAGGGGGGGAGGGGGGAGGGGAGGGAGGGAGGGGAGGGGAGGGGAGGAGGAGGGGAGGGGAGGGGAGGGGAGGATAGGGGAGGGGAGGGGAGAGGAAGGAAGGGAAGGGGGGGGGGGCTGAAGCCTTGGGACCCCCTCGGTTAAGCCTCTGCTCCTCCTCACATCCCACCCTCTGCCCAGACCCTCAAACCTTTAACTACCACGCGCCTTTATCCTACCGGCTGCACGGCCGCCTCCTTAACCAAGCTTCTCCGGTCTTCCCTTCACCTTACATACCGCGAGACGCATTAACAATTACCCTGTGTGGGGACGCAGGGGAAGGCCACACACAGATGCTTAATGGCTTCATATACAACTGGCATAATCGTGAAACGACGGCCGTGTTCGCTGTTGTTCATTATTAGCCCCGGCCGTGCATCGAACCAGCTAGTTGACTTTCGGGCGCCGTCTACCGAGCACACCACACGCCATACAAACCCCCATCCCATCACCAACACCACCCTTCCCATCCAGACAGGCGGCAGGTCTGCGTGCACGCACCACCACCAGAGCACCGGGGGCTGACGCCTCTGCGAGGGTGGCGCCAGGGCGGTGTGCTCACTTGTTTCCGAGCAGCACCTCCGGGGCGCAGTACTCCACCGTGCCGCAGAAGGTGGACAGCAGCTGGCCGCTCGACACGAACGTGGCCGAGCCGAAGTCGATCAGCTTGACGTGGAACGTCGAGTCGATGATGACGTTCTCGTCCTTGACGTCACGGTGCAGGATCTCCAGCGAGTGCAGGTGCTCCAGCGCCGAGCAAATCTGCAAACGGGTAGGATCTCACCGCCCACCCATTGTGTGCCAGTCGGAATGCCCGCGAGCAGAGCAAGAACTCCTGGGTAGATGCTATAATGACACCGATATTTTTAGGACCAACAAGTCAAAACCGGCTGATCGCGCCACCAAGCAGCCAGTCCCAGGCCTCCGCCGCCCGCGCAGACCCATCACACACGCAGACTGACCCGGTCAGCGCCTGGCGATGGCCGCGCCGAGGCGGCCACCGCTCCAGCTCGCGCCGTCGGTACAGGCCCCGCAGCAGCGGCGCCGCGGATTCCCGCCGCTGGGGCGCGGTGGGCAGCCCCAGCGGGCCATCCCGCCGGCCGGCCCCCGGCGCCCACCTGACGGAAGATGTAGCTGGCGAGCGGCTCGTCCATGGCCGGGTCGCGGTCAATGAACTCGAACAGGTCCATGCAGCCGTGCCGCTCCATCACCATCTGCAGGTACTGCTCGTTCTCGTACAGGTCGACCACGCGGATCTGTCGGCGTAGCGCGCAGACGCGCCGGGGACAGCGTCAGACACGACCGGCCCGACCGACCGGCTCGGCTCGGCTCGGCTCGGCTCGGCTCGGCTCGGCTCGGCTCGGCTCGGCTCGGCTCGGCTCGGCTCGGCTCGGCTCGGCTCGGCTCGGCTCGGCTCGGCTCGGCTCGGCTCGGCTCGGCTCGGCTCGGCTCGGCTCGGCTCGGCTCGGCTCGGCCCGGCCCGGCCCGGCCCGGCCCGGCCCGGCCCGGCCCGGCCCGGCCCGCCCCGGCTCGACCAGTCAGCCGGCCGAACGGCAGGCACGACGGCCGACAACAGCACAGTCACAGAGCGTCCACAGCTGGATTATCGCTCTTCAGTACGGCACTCCCCGCCCTAAAAGGACCAGAATTATGCGAGGTGGGAGCGTGCAAGCAATCACGGAGGTGGCCGTCGGTCATCCAATGATAGCTTGGGGCGGGTGCTCTCGCGAACGCCAGCCCGCAGACGCGTCTATACTAGGATGCCAACAACGGTCGCTGTTCAGCACTCAGCCAACGGGCAGAATCACGAGAGCCAGCAGCCCCAGCAGCGCCGCCGGCGCTGCTCTGGTGCCCCTCGCCTCCGCTGCCCGAGGACGGACGGCCGCCGGGGCGCTCACGATGTGCCGGTGGTGGAGCATCGAGAGCAGCGAGACCTCGAGCGGCACGCGGCGGCCCAGCGTCGGGTCGTCCACCCAGTGGTCGGCGTGCACCTTGTCCTTGCGGATGAACTTGGTGACCACCTGCCGGCGGCGGCGGCGGCGGCGTCAGACGGGGCCGGCCGCTCCCCGGCCAGACCGCGGGCACACGCTGACGACGGCCGGCCGCCTGCCACGCGCCGCTTCCCCACGAGGCTTACTGATGCGAGGAACCACATGATGGTGTGCTGGACATTCACGCCGAGGCTGCTCACGGAATGTTCCAGTGATGCCTTGGCCACAATCATACCATGATTTACAGTGAGGCTCAACCAGGCAGGGGAGCCACGTACCGAGCACAAACACAATTCCCCACATATGGTACGGACACCTCGGGCTTGGACACACAAGTACTGGGCACGGCACGCGTGAAGCGCTTTCAAACACAGCTCCACAACACCTCCACCGATGCCATCGGAGCTCCGACACCCTAAGTCCAATCCGACCAGAGTGCAGCTATGTCTGGTGATCAGCAGCCCCCCACATATCCCACTTTTCACTTCGTCCTTGGATTTAGAGCACACAGTGACGGAATTCAGTCTGTCGACGCTGCGAACACCTAACCACCAGTGTCATATAACAAAGCCGCAGACGTCAACCGCAACTACGCACTGTGAACCGCCAGTGACGGACTCCACGAGAACCAAGTATACACGGTTGGTATGTGTTCCCCACCATACCATTCTTGTCGTCCACCTCCTCACCAGCATGCGGTCGCCGTTGCGGTACCCAAGCTTGACGAAGCCGAAGGCGCCCTTGCCGATCTGCTGGATGGTGGTGTAGTAGCGGCTGTAGTCGCCACGGCAGTGTCCGGCGTCCTCGCTCTCGGCAACGCTGGCCGGCGCCGCCGCCGCGCCCGCCGCCTGCTGCTGGATCACCTGGCGACAGGGCCGGCGCCGGTCGGCGTCAGCCGCCGCCGGCACACACGCCGCCGCGGCTGGCTCGGGCCCGGACTCGGGCCCGGCTGTACATATGGTGCGCAAGGGGGCACGCACAGGGGAAGGGACCACACACAGTTCCACTGCCCGGGAACTCAGCATACAGCCTGCGCACTCAGGCCGCGGCAACACACGGAGGGTACTTCTCGACACGCTGCCGACCCATCACCCGGAAGCTAAATGTTGATCGCCAGTGACGTAAATCAGGCCGCGCACCTACGCGAGGGACATTGTTGCCGTGACAGGGAGCTCACGAACGCGGGGATCAGAACAACGTGGCGGGGTGATCGACACGACACATACACTCTTATGGCACACACAGGCCACTCGCCGGTTACCAAAAAGCTGGCCAGATGTCTGTCATGCTGTCTTGTTTCACACGGCACTGCGTCCTCTTTGTTCCGACCACCGCTACCGCATCTCTCTCGGACGACAGCTCACTCTCGGCTCACACCCGATACAGCCTGGGTTCTGTGCCGGGCCGGCACCCCGCATCAGACAGCCGGGCCCAACTTCGCCGGCGTTCGGCGCCGCCGCGCGCCCGCCCGCCGCCGCGCGCCCGGCCGTGCCCACCTGTCCCAGGCTGAAGTGAGCCACTCCGGCCGACAGGTCACCGGAGAGCAGCGAGTCGCGCGGCTCGGGCCGGTCCTGGCCGACCCACAGGCAATACACGATGCTGTCGTCGTCCAGGCCCACCGTGCACAGGTCGTAGGTGATGTCTGCGGCGGCGGCGAGGTCAAACACGCCGCCAACGCAGCGCACACCGGCTCGCGGACGCCACAGGAACACTGCACTGCCAAGGCTAATTACTGAAGACGAAACGCTTGCGGCTGCGGCACTGCGCAGCCCCTGATTGGTTAGTCAGCACAGAGACACGAGGCAACCATCCGAGTTCACAGCAGGAGCACGACCCCGTCGGGTATGCCGACCTCCACAGCGTGGGGTGCTCCGCGCCGCTTCGTTGAGTCGCTGAGGCACCCCCGTCCCCACCACTCACTGAACTCGCTGCCGTCCCGGTGCCGCGCCAGGCCGTAGTACGTGTTGTCCGCGAGCGGCGGCCGGCGGCGCGGCGCCGTCCGCCGCGGGCAGGGCGTGGAGGTGACGGGCGGCCGCCCGCCAGCCGGCGAGCCGGGCGCCGGCGGCGGCTCGCTGCCCGGCTGCGTCTCGTCGCCCTGCACCGGCTGGCGCGGCGTCGGCGCCGGCGGCGGCGGCGGTCGCTCGTCCAGCGCCAGCCGCGCCAGGCCCAGCCGCGCGCCGGCCGCCGGCGAGTGCGGCGCCGGCGAGTCGCCGAGCGGCGGCAGCGCCAGCGACTCGTCATCGCTGTCCAGCATCTCCATGTCCTCCTCGAAGGTGGGGATGAGCTCGCGGATGTCCTGCGCGCGGCGGGCACGTCGGTCAGCGCCGCCGAGCCGCCACAGCCCAGCACAGAGCACGGACAGAACACCTGCTGGGGAAAACGTCCAAAACGGCCTCGGGAGATCGCAGAACCGGCACAGAGCACGGACAGAACATCTGCCGGGGAAAACGTCCAAAACGGCCTCGGGAGATCGCAGAACCGGCCGCAACACGCAAGGCACAGCTCCCGCAAGACAAATGAACGTCCAGAGATGAGCGTCAGAAATCCAACAAACACGACAAAAGCTCACTTCGTTTCGCAACTTCCCTGCGCATACCGCAGAGGGTGGCAGCAGACAAAACACTCCATCGCGCCGCTGGGGGCTCACCTTGCCGATGAGTGCGCCCTTCTCGTAACCGACCGTCAGTGATATAAAATTATGGTTGTAGTTTCTGATCTTCAGGTGCTCGTCCATGACTACAAGTCCCATAAGACTGGTGTAGGCCTGTAACATCAGGCAGTGGGCACTCCGCACTGCACCATCGCGTTTCATGCAGTAGAGGCGCGTGGGACGATAGGACAGAGCAGACGTTTACCGAGCGTCGTAGAGACAACAGTGGGCAGAGCATTCCCGAACGGGCACGGGGCGGAGATGAGATGGATCAACACGCCACGGCTCCCCAAACGGAGGCGGCCCGGCCAGACCCGGCTCGCCACCCCACCGACCGCAGCCGGCGTGGTGACGGCGGCACTCAGAGCGCTCCCGCGCCGAGCGAGGCGCCGCCGGCCCGCGCGCCACCGTACTCACGTGCACGCGTAACGACACGCTGTGGACGGGGGCGTCAGCCGACGGCGGCGCCGCCGCCAGCCGCACGCTGACCGGGAAGCTGCTGCCGTCCAGCCGCTTGGCCGTCACCTCCTGCACGCGCAGCTCCTGCCGGGCAGAGCGGGTCAGGAGCGACTCCTGGCGAACAGAGCGGGTCAGGAGCGGCTCCTGGTGGACAGAGCGGGTCAGGAGCGGCTCCTGGCAGGCAGACTGTGTCAGGAGCGGCTCCTGCCGGACAGAGTGGGTCAGGAGCGGCTCCTGGCGGGCAGAGTGGGTCAGGAGCAACTCCCGGCGGGCAGCGCGGGTCAGGAGCGACTCCTGGCGGGCAGAGCGGGTCAGGAGCGGCTCCTGCCGGGCAGACTGGATCAGGCGCAACTCCTGGCGGACAGAGCGGGTCAGGAGCGACTCCTGGCGGGCAGACTGGATCAGGCGCAACTCCTGCCGGGCAGAGCGGGTCAGGAGGGGCTCCTGGCGAACAGCGCGGGTCAGGCGCCGCTACCGTTGGGCAGAGTGCGTTAGGCGCGGCTACCGGCGGACAGAGCGGGTCAGGAGCCAACGCGGGGACGGCCCCGACCACGAGTGGTGCTGCCACTCGGCGCTATAAAGTGGGTTTGCTGCATGGCAGATGCCGATCTAATAAATGCCAGTCTCCAGACGCAACTAGCCACACAAGATAAGCCTGCTCGCGTTACACGACTCGGCGCCATTTATGGATGGGCTTTCTCAAAAGGAGATCTTCCCAGGTCACGAACACGCTCTCTGGTGGTCTAGTGGTCCCCTTTATACGGCCCGGGACCCGACGGACGGCCCGGGGAAAACTGCTCGAGGTACGGCATGATGACATCGCTGGGACAGCTGGAGGGACCCTGGTCGGCAGGCACGGCTTGGCCAGCGCCGCGGCAGTTCGCCAACAAGCGCAGAGGCCCACCACTTCCTAACCAGAACGGAGACACAGCGGAGGCTTTCTGACCGACACGGGCACATGGGCGCTGAAAGCCCTCTGTTTCTCCCGCTGGCTCCTACCATCAGCATGTGTGGAATGGCCGAGGACAGAGCCGACTCTCCAGCCCCGTGGTGGCAGCGGCAAGAGCGCGGGCCACGCTCACCTTGGGCACGGTGGGCAGGTCCGACGGCAGCTTCAGGGACGGAATGAAGTGGGTCACCTTCAGGCCGATAAACTCGTCCGGCTCCTGGCTGAACAGGTCACTGACGCAGCCCGACACGTCCGACAGACGGCCAAACCGATCACACGTCATCTGCCAACGGCCACCGCCAGGTCACACGTCACATGCAAACAACGGCCGCCAGGGCACGGGACACATACCGAAACCTAACGCAAGGTCATAGGCCACCTGCAACCACCTGACGCAAGGTCACCGGTCACATCTGCAAGCAGACAGCGGAACAGCACGGTTGCCCACCGGCCGCCGGCCGCCCGGTCACGGGTCGTGTGTAGCAGGGGTGCCCACTGGTCGCCTGCCGCCCGGTCACGGGTCGTGTGTAGCAGGGGTGTCCACCGGCCGCCGGCCGCCCGGTCACGGGTCGTGTGTAGCAGGGGTGCCCACTGGCCGCCCGGTCACGGGTCGTGTGTAGCAGGGGTGCCAACTGGCCGCCTGGTCACGGGTCGTGTGTAGCAGGGGTGCCTACCGGCCGCCGGCCGCACGGTCACGGGTCGTGTGTAGCAGGGGTGCCCACCGGCCGCCGGCCGCCCGGTCACGGGTCGTGTGTAGCTGGGTGCCCACCGGCCGCCGGCCGCCCGGCCACGGGTCATGTGTAGCAGGGGTGCCCACCGGCCGCCGGCCGCCCGGCCACGGGTCGTGTGTAGCCCCCGGTTGAGTGGGCCCGGGCCGCCCTGCTCGGCCACACTGTCATGGCACGCCGAAGGCTCCAGCGACTGACGCCTGCAAAGCGTCGGAACACCACGCACGGTGGAGCCAAGTCACCGTCGCTATGCGACGAACAGCGTGCGACATCGCCTCGCAAGTGGCTATGACTCATGCAGTCGGGGCCATTCTGGGCGCATGCATCTATACATGGTTAATGATGACACGATGGCCGCCGCCGGCCGTCCGCCACCAAGGGCGTGCACGGACACGCACAAGCACCAGCTGTGTAAACGCCACTGGTCATGTGCAGATCCCACACATACTCTTGTGACGTCTGCCCGGCATTGAAACCAGCGCTGGCCCATTGAAAGGTGAGGCCGGTGCCCGGCAAGCAGAGTTCCCAGCACGGCCGAGTTGCCCGCCAACGCTGCCTTAACAACCAACAAGTATTTTTTTCTGTCATTTAGCAACATAAATTGTAACATAGCTCCTGGATGAAGTCATTACCCTCTCGGCGCACCACTTAAATTTACACTGGGCCGGGCACGTGGAAACCCCCTTCCACAGACACGCGATTCCAGAAAACCACGTCACAGAGTGCACATCGTAAATGTATCAGAAATTCATGACGTTTACGACTTGGCGTGTCCGCTCCAGACATTGATTACCAACTAAAGTTCTATGAATTTCCGGTGAACTGGCCACCAGCACGTGCAGATCGGTACCTGCGTCGCACCGGCACGACTCCGACCGGCATCCCCGCCGGCCGAGCCGGGCCGGGGCCGCAGGTGGTCCGGTTCTGACCGGCACCCCAGCTGGCCGAGCCGGGCCGGAGCCGCAGGTGTTCCGGCTCCGACCGGCACCCCAGCCGGCCGAGCCGGGCCGGAGCCGCAGGAGGCCACCGTACCTGCACGGTCTTCCGCTGCACCGGCTCCAGCACGGCGACGCAGCGACGCTCGGCGCTGCTCGTCTCGATCTTGCGCAGCCATAACGACACGGGGATGACGTCACCCCGCTTCGTCATGACCTCCACCTGGAAAAGGCAGGCAGCAGCGATACGGGTCACGTTTGGAATGCGTATGGTGACGAATGAGACCAAATAATAGATGGACGCCAGCCGACGTCGAACAGAGCTTTGAATTGGCAGAACACCAGGCCTCATGACATTGTGGAGACCTGGAGGCAGTATCCGAGCGATAATTGTCACCGAAGACGTGTCCACGGAGCGCCAATCTGGGGCCAACCCGATAATATGACTTGGCCGATACCACAAACGGTCCCTTGTCATGACTCAAGTCCCACTCTCGCCACAGCAAACGTCGGCAGCAGCAAACCCCGTGCATCCTACCCCCCCCCCCCCCCGAGCTGCGGCACCCCTCAGCCTGTTGCCGCCCCTCCCCCGTCGCACGCACCACGTTGCCGGCGAACACGACGACGCTGCCCTCGGAGCTGAGGTGCGCCTCCTCCATGCGGGGCCGGCTCTCAGCCGCCACGAACAGCTCCTTCAGCCGCAGCTGGCTGAGCTCGGCGCCCGAGTAGCCCAGCAGGTCGGCGGCCATGTCGTTCCACATGAGAATCTGCCGGTCGGCGGGGCGTACCACATGAGGATCTGCCGGTCGGCGGGGCGTGACCACCGACGCGACGCTAGCGCCCGAGCGCCGACGCCGGCGGTCGCACCGGGCGCTGTGACACGCGCGATCTCGGACACAGCGCGACGGCGTCACCTTCCGACCGGCGGCGGGGTGCGGCGGGCCGGTTTCGCGAGACCGCGGCTGCTACCTCTGACCACGTCCGCCAACAGCGATCTCTATCGAACAATCGGACGTCGCGGTGGCGGCGTTGCCATGGCAATGACCGGACTCACCAGCTTCGACCACGTCATCAGCGGGGGCGTCTTTCGGCGCGAGCCGTCAGGGACGCCGGCACGTGCCGACATCGCTGATCTAACGGCCACAAAACCAGCCAGCGCGGCAAGCGACGCGGGCCCGAACGACCGCAAAGCCGCCGGCCGCCGCAGGGCGGCCGGGGCGCCGCGCCCGCCACCTCAGCCGGCGTCAGACCGGGACCGACCTGGGAGGTGCGGCTATCGATGGTGAACACGCTCTTGGTGGGCGTAATGAAGAGCGTCTGCGCCGTGAGCACGTCGGACGGCGAGAACGACTTGTAGAAGGCCCACGAGTCGTTGAGGCTGCGGCCGGCGGCGTCCGAGGCGCGCTGCTGACACCGGTACGGCGAGCGCGCCGTCGCGCCGTTGAAGCTGAAGCTGAACAGGTTATCGCCTGCGGAGGGCGGTCACGTCAGGGCGGTGCCGCCTCCGGCCGGGGTCGCCGCCTTTTGGCCGGGTCGGGTCAGCAGAGCGCGGGCCGCGCAGCGGTGTGAGACGGCGACTGTGCGGTCACTGGGCTGTCGTGCGCCCTGACAGTAAACAACAGTAGGCATCGCAATACATTGCGCGGCGAGGGACACCGCCAGGTATGACTGCTATTTGGATCCGTCCCATGTGTAAGATCCAGTCTGCCACGGCCAACAACGACAGCTTGCAACACCCAACGGCCGAGGCCAAGTCTGAACAGTCCGGTGGTCAGTCCGACCGGGAGACCAGTCTCTCGGCCGGAACACTGCATCACTTGGGCCACACCGCGTCCGCCCGGGTCGTCCGCCGGTGGCTGACCTTTGAGAAGCGTGGCGTCCGGTTTGGGCCGGCGCATGGGCGGTGTGTCCCAGGGCATCATGGCGGCGGCCGTCGGGTGGCCCGCCCAGCTCTGGTTGGCCGAGAACGAGTCGTCGTCGACGGCGGCGGCGGCACCGGCGGCCGGCGGCTGGCTGGGCGTCAGGCCGAGCTCCAGCGCCCGGCGGCGGTCGGCGGTCGGCGGCGGTGAGCGGTGCGGGAGCACCACCGGCCGCTTGCCCTGCCGGCGGCGCGGGTACGCCTCAGCCATGGCGGCACGCGGGGCACGCCAGGCGCAGCGGCGAGCGCGCGCGCCACCACCGCGCGGTAGCTGAGCCGAGGCGCACGCACGCCACAGCCGGGCAGGACGCCCGGACAGCTGGCCGACGGACGGAGGCGGAGTCGTGGGGTAGGCACACTGACGAGAGCTGGCGCGGACAGCTGGCCGACGGACGGAGGCGGAGTCGTGGGGTAGGCAGACTGACGAGAGCTGGCGCGGACAGCTGGCCGACGGACGGAGGCGGAGTCGTGGGGTAGGCAGACTGGCGAGAGCTGGCGCGGACAGCTGGCCGACGGACGGAGGCGGAGTCGTGGGGTAGGCAGACTGGCGAGAGCTGGCGCGGACAGCTGGCCGACGGACGGGGGCGGAGTCGTGGGGTAGGCAGACTGGCGAGAGCTGGCGCGGACAGCTGGCCGACAGCAACACCGCAAATGTGGCGTTCCGGCAGGCGCCACACACAGACGGCAGGCGGGATCACACGGGACTGACACAGGCCTCGCCCCAGACACGGTAATGGCACGATCCGTGGCATGCCAGGACAGGAGGCGAACAGCAGGTAGAGCCACAGCGCTGGATACCATGTCGACGGAGGCGGAGCCCGGGAAAGGTGATACGGATCGCACGGGAGTGAATGTGACCACGCTGATGGCCAGGGAATAAGCAAGGCAAACCCGAAAGGCGATCAGAAAAGATAAAATCAGAAGCCACGCCCACGAGGGGGCCGCCGAGAATTGAACTGGTTATTATTTTCCCCATTTCGATACAATACGTACATACTCATACAACATTCGGCATGCAATCGACTGCTGGGGGCGCAAGGCCACCATTAAAGTGATTTTTTTTATTTAGCTATTGTAGTTGAACAGCTGCTATTGCTTACGGAATCCAATATACCATCACGGAAAGCACAACGCACGCAACACTCGGGGACGAATCCCAGCGCTATCATCTGCGGAGCTCCCTGTGCGCCAACATCCTTTGAAGGAAAAGCAAAACATCTGGGTGGAACGAGTGCGTTCACTGGATGAAAATGGGTTGTTTAGTGCATATATGATAGAGACCAACAAAGTCTCTGCCGCGAACGTAGATCTGGTGTTATGATACCAGCGAATACCTCTGGATATTCCGGACAACACAGGCACTAATTCAGCGGGCAACAGACCGCTGCCGTCGACGGCTGTACAGATGAACTATGAACTATGAACTAACACTATGAACTAACACTGTGAACTAGGTCAGGGATGGGGGACAACGTCGATCGTCCCGTCCGGCACCGGTGTCGCCCACTCACCCTTCCAGCGAGCTGCGATCCAGGGAAGTTGGTCTTGTCCAACAGCGCTTGTCTGGACGACCTGGAATGAGGTCAGCGGTCTTGACCGGCACTGGCAACTGCGCGCGCGCGCGCACACACACACACACACACACACACGCTAGTCTCCGGGGCTGGGGGTGGGCAGGCTATGAATCACCAAATTCGATGCCGACCGACGATCTGCGCTGGAGACGGCTGCAGCACGGCAACAAAGCCACAGCCGACGGGGCGACGCGCCGAAGCGGCTCGCCGGTTACCTGGTTACCGATCAACACAGCGTTGCCCGGCTCGATAGCCGAGCCGACCGGCCGCCGTGAACGTGGACGGGCTGCATGAGAGCGGCGGAGGGGCGGAGGAGGGCGAGGGCGGTCGTTCTGACCTCCAGCCGGGTCAAGTGTGTGTGTACGGACCACAGCCCGGAGCTGCAGCCCGGCAGCCGAACTGCCGCCCAGCAAAACTGCCGCACAAGCAAACGGCAGCATACAACAACTGACATATACAGACAGATACGCACATCGCTACAAATACATATCCCTTTATTGCTGCCAAACAGTAGGCGATCGCTGCACCGTCAGGTTAGATGGAAACCATGCAAGCAAACTTCACCTCACACACCGTTGCCGTGAAAAAGTCATCACAATAACGCGGGCACCAACTTACATTCTCACATTGACATTGGGTTCTTACATCACTCAATGTGTCACCGTGGCTTCTCATTTGTACGGCTGTGTTTGTGGGCTGAAAAGATGGTTAGTCGAACGGCTGGTATTCCCATTCCCACCTTCGACGGCCCTGGAATGGTCGTCCCAAAAGTCAAGCCACACTTAGTTCGCGTGCATTTTAAGGAGGGTGAGCGTACTCACGACGGAAATTCCGCGAAAGCTGAGGAAAGGTCGCAGGGGTGAAAGTGTTCGTTTCCACTTTCAGATCAGCCTCCATCGAAAAGTTGTCAGTGGAAAAGTTCTGACCGTTCACTTACCGAGAAATTTCCACAACTAATTCTGGAGTACTGCAATGGTACCCATCTAAGGCCCAGCTTTCCGCAAACCTCCCTACATTGACCTTCCGGGAAGTTTCGATGCAATACGCACTGTCAGCACTAAAAAGCAATACGATGGCTACGAATAAGGTGGCAAAACCGCCTTGCAACCTCTTGAATACAACATCGCACGCAAATTTTTAGCGACACATTCCAAGTACACGGAACTCCAAATTACTGAGCATACAGCCCCAGCGGTGCTCGGCCGACGCTGGAAACGGCTGTGATTTGTGGGTGCGGGGAAATGTAGGTCAGTATTGATGCGTCGGGAGCCCGTACCAGTGCCCATTCCAGTCAAGCCTTGACGGCTCTAAGGCAGGCATGTCAATGCCGTGCAGGTCAATGACGTCATCATGCTTTCAGAAAATATCTCGCTGCTCTTCTAGATCTTTCTCAGTCCACCGCTATCGTGAATTAGCCACTTTGAGCCTGAAGCTCGTCCTTTCCATGCACTGCCACATTACACGTTTGATGTTTAATTGTCAAAAAGTCTGGGAGTCATTACCATCTGGCCACTTTCCTGCTTATTAGTACTACCAACCGGTTCAGTATCCTGAAAACGTGTGCCGATAGTGTAGTGGTTGCGCTGTGAGGCTGGGAAACCTGAGGTATCGGGTTCGATTACCCGCGGTGCCCCCCCCCCCCCCCCCCCCCCCCTCCTACCAGGATGAGGCGGGCGACACCATATGGCCTCAGCAGCCGAGTGTGTCGTTAAGGCCCCAATGACGCACACACTATCCTGAAAACACCCCAGCTGGTGAAAGAGGGCAATCAAACCTGAATGACCTCTCAAACGGTCACAGAAACCGCAGAAATGTGAAGAACTTAACGTGACATATTATGAGGTTTTGCGGGGCAGGGATTCCCTTGCTTGCAACCGCTGACTTATTTGGCCTAGCACAGCACAAAGAATTAGTGGGCTGCAAAATGTTTCTAAAAACACCGAGCCAGTTGGCCCGAATTTCGTCGACACATGTGACGTTGTTTTGACCCACGGCCTCCCGGAGGACTAAAAGCCACCCACTCCGAGTGTCGGAAATAACTTCCGGCCATGCCAGTGCAAGGTAGGCTCATCGAACTTTCAGTACCCGACTATTGATCAGCCTGATGGATTCTGGAGCGAAAGTATCCCCGACGTCACCATCGCATGACGTCACCGGAGTGGGCGTCCACAACGCTCTCTGCTGCCACATGCAGCAATTGGTCGCTTCCTTCCGTTTTGGTCCTGTTCGATACAGTTTACCATCAGCCAGGGTCAATTTCACGATGCGAGGTCACCTGTCAGTCAGGGGCCCTTTTGGAGACCCTGGTGGAGCTATGTCTTACGAAATGCTCAGTAAGCTGATCTCATGACGGGCAAGTGACCTGGTTGAGTGGTGCCTGGCATTCTCACATATATATATATATATATATATATATATATATATATATATATATATATATATACTAAGGAGTCTTGGATCCTTCGCTGTTGTCGTAAGTTCTGCGGTACCGATGAACCAGTAACACTGCCCTCCCTTCACAGCCTTCAAAAAGTTTCAAAACCACTGGGCTCACTCATTCTAAGATGGTTTAGTTCTTGGGTCAAGTAAGGCATACTAAGCATTCAATTCAATTGAACTGAATAATATAAGTATACGCACACAACATATATAAAATAAATAAGACGATCAAACTCTAAATCATCACCTACGTTCTAATGGCTTCACAAGGCGTATTGTGAACGCACGGCCACGGGCCTTGCTGATAGCGCCGCCATGTCAAAATGTAGAACGGACACCCGATGCCAGCCCGTGTTGACCGTGCGTACGCAATACAAAAAAAACAGCACTGCACATCTGCCGTCAACGATGACTGGCATCTGTTGTCCGTTCAATATTTTCACATTTCGACACTGTGGGTAGCGTCCGTTATGAAAAATATTTCAAAACACATCTCACCAAACGATTAAGACGTATATCACTATCGTAAGATCATTTTTACCTATATCTATTTAGACCTATATCACCATCGTAAGATCATTTTTGACCACTGATTAATTGACCACTGGGCTTGATTTCGATGGTTCAATTTCCATGGTTCAAGCAGGATTGTCAATGGCACATCATGTAAGGGTGTTAGGCGTGCCTGAACTCCTGCCCCGCTAAGCTCTAGCCCCTAGCACTGACCCTGGCACCAAACATCGGTCAGTTACCCTATCTCTTGCGTCAATCAAGTTGTGTAGCTACAGGGAAGCATTCCAACGTGACATAGCTAGCTAGCCATGTTTAACCTTCGATGCGCGAGGGTGAAGACCATGTGTGTGTCATTGGGGCTTAACAACGCACTCAGCTGCTGAGGCTATATGGCGTCCCAGCCTCTCACCCTGGCAGGAGGAGCGGGCACCGCGGGGAATCAAACCCCCCTACCTCTGGTTTCCCAGATGTCCAGTGGTTAACGCAGATGCGTTAGAAACTACACCACCGGCACCTCGGGTGAAGACCACGAAAACACGACCTCCCCACCCTCCCATTATCTCACTTTGCAAGCTTTGGACACTCTCACCAACGTGAGGCAGAAGCACACCGCCGCGTCCCGAGCGCACATGTGTGGTTTGTCTTGGGCGACCAGTTGGCAACTGGCTAAGGCAGCCACAATGAAACAGGGAGGCCGTAATCCCAGCGCCGTATGACGCGCTGAAGTCTGTTGGCAAGTTGACCATTAAACGGGAATTGTTTGACCAAGCTGGTGGGGGTCAGGTTCTTTGCAGTAAACTTTGACAACGAAGGACCCGGATCCCGAAGCCGCCCCAGCAACACGTTCCGGCACTCATTCAACTCATAGTTCGTTTGGTTCAAAACCATGTCGTCGGCTGCTGACTGGACGTAAGTCGGGTGCCACAGATGTTCACACCCCAGACATCGCTGGGCATAGTGAGAGCACTTAGCGGCTGAGATGGGCGGGATCGGAACGTGCGTGTACGTGGACCGATAGCACGGGCTGAGGCAATCGGTGGCTCCCGATGAGGGCATCGGTCGCTCCGGATCGGGGGATCGGTCGCTCGGGATGCTGGGACCCATAGCTCCAGGTGAGGGGACCGATGGTGCGGGTTGGGGAGATTGGTAATGTGGGGTGGGGGATTGGTGGCACTGAATGAGGGGATTGGGGGCTCAGGGTAAGGGGATCAGGAGCTCAGGGTGAGGGCGTGCATAGCTCTCGGTGCGTGGGATGAATAACCCTAACATTGCATGCATCATCAGTAACCCTGTATCATACCCCATTTGTTGTGCTGCTTGCTTTTATGTCAGCTGGCACATCTTTCATTCCTGACTAGTTAAAAACTGACTAATAATTGACATTAAGTCAATCTGTAAGCCAGGAGCTTGAATGAGATAATGTGTTAAATAATTGGCTGATGCTCACCTGTCCATCACAGCTGTCCGTCAAATTCCTCTGGGATTAAATTTGCATAAATTGGGAATCTCTTGGGCAGCAATCCTTGATGCTGCAAAAAACCAAACACAATTAAAATATTAGCTGGCCATCAAGCACTACAATTGCATTGACTTGGCACTGTCAGGCAATCAAATTGAACCCATTTCAACCAAGTGGTTTCTGTTTCAGTATACAAAGGGGCAAAACAGTCATGGAAAATATGAGGATTTCCAATGCATCATTCACTGGATACTAATGCCAAAACAACACAAACAGCATGTTACACTTGACAAGATGTGCCATGATGAATGCTAAGCCAGGCTGCAAAAAAACAATATCTTCAAGCTATAAAGCATTGGGGATTTGCGACCAGGTTGCTAGTCAAAAGCACTTTCCTCCTTACTTTGGCATGCTTGGTTTAAGCATGGAACCACATTTCAAACCTGGGCATCATAATTAATGTAGGCCTAGCTCTTATCAATGTCTTTGAGTGCAAAGGTTGGTTGAAACACAACATCATTATTGTACACTTTAGAAGGTTAAGCTCATCTCAACTAATTTCAGGCACATCACAGATGCAACCAATCCTGTTATGCATTTAGGCACTGCACCCCAAGCCCAGAGGCACATATATTTTCCAAAATACTGATTCACTGGTCACTTGAATGCTTACAAACATCTGGAATGTTTCAACTATTACATGTGATACAATCTGTATCCTGTGTAGCCATGTAGATCCACTCCTTCTTTGAAAATGGAATGTATATTTGTATATAACAGTTTTGAAAATCATCATTCCTCAAAACTCCAGAGAATTCACACATCAAAATGACCAATAGTATTGACTGTTATCAGATTCAAGCATTTTAAACATTTAAAAGTAAAAAAATACACATTTTAACATTTATGGCCATCAAATGTGTGCATGGGAGCCTCAGTACCGCTGTGTACTCAATTCTCCTCAGTACTCCTACCTCACGCCACTACAACCTGTCGCGTAAGTCAAATGGCCCCAGTCCAGTGGACATCTCGATCCGTCATTGGCGATCGTACACGCTGGCTTTAACAACTGGCGGCACGACAAATAAGACTAAATAATCGCATTTCAAGTCAATAAAAAAACAAAGACACGATGTAAAGCAGATTACCTAAACGCGCGTCCTAAGTGCCCTCCCACACCGTAAAATACCACAAAGCTGCGCCGATTACAAACCGTTCGCCAAGACATGCTGCCATATTCTGTTCTCGGGCCTTGCTGCCATATAAGGTCACTGTAAGCGAAAATTCATGAAAACAGTAGCTCGCGCACGCTGGCGCGCCTTCTGCGCACCTCCCCCACGGATATATATATATATATATATATATATATATATATATATATATGACCTCTGCTCTTCTCTCTCTGCAGTGGATTGAGTAAAAGTGAGAATTTATACAGAAGAGGCGAAAGTTTCTGAAAAAATGTGTCCATCTATGCGTATCAGGGTACCTTTACTTTTCCCCTCTAAAGCTCATTGGCTGATAGCTTGCACTTCCGCCACGCCAACATCCCGTTATCCATTTGCCGGGCCAATAAAAGGTTCCCGAGTTTTCACGGGTGGCTACAATCACACATACAGGCGAATAGTTTGGTATATTGGATACGATACTGCACATCATACACGGGCGGCGCCCGAGCCGGGCCCGGACGCGGCGGCGGTGACGGCGGCGCGGCCCCGAAGTCCCTTCCTCCCGGTCAGAACTGCGGCTATCCCGGCTACACCAACTACGCTACACACACGCGCCAGCAACGGAGCTGAACAGCTAATCACACACGGAAACAAAACCGACCACTAGCGCGCACGAGCGGCATCGGGCCGACCGGCGTCGGTCGAAGGCACGGCTGACCTACGTGAGCTACGCAAATATCCTTGTAAACAGGCATATATAAGTGATGATCGGGCGCTTGCGCGCCAAGTGGCCGCACCAGCAGGAACGGCTCAGATCTACGTCGAAGAAGATGGTTGATAGAAGACACCACAGCGGCTCGCAGTTGCTGGCTGACAGGGCGTTTGTAGGCAGCGGTCGGCCGCGCGCGCTGCGGCTGACCACAATACACAGCAGATGACGCGCGGGCACGACGGCACCCGAGTCGTTAATCGGAGCATGGGGCCGGTGCACGCGCCCGGCCGTCCGTCCACACGGCAAGTCTTTTCGCACGCGACCACGCCCCGAGCGCGCCGCTCTCCCTGTGGCAGGAGATATTGCACGCGGTCGCGGAGGCGCCGACGTCGCCGCGCCTCGCGTACCAGCCGCCTGCCATGCGTCCACGGCCCCAGTCGACGCGCCGGGCCGGACCGACGGCGCGCCGTCAGCCCCGCGGCGCACAGCGGCGGGGCGGGGCGCTACCCGTCACGGCGGAGTCGCGCTCCTCCTCCGGCCGTCACGTCCACCTCACAGACGCGCTGGTTCGCCGCCGGCGATGTCGCGGAACATACGTAACAACGGTCGGCAGTCACGGCGGCGCCCCATCAACATCCGACGGGCGTTCGTCGGCAGGATATCACGAGCAACGCATCCAACGTATCGTAGCACATGCCGGTATCCGAACGAGGGCGCGCCTGCACTGCACGCCACGCGCTCGCCTGCAACGTCAACTATCCGACTCTCGCCGACAGGCCCACGTACAGCCGGTAGCACACAGATCGTTCATGCCACGCGCGACCACGGCGCCACGCCACTGTCGGCCGATCGAGATTACAAATCAGCTGTCAGAATTACTAGGGTCACCTTTACATGGCCTGCGAACCACAGCCACACATACACATCGGGATGATCGTGAGAAACGAGCGCATTCGAGAAGCTTCACACCATGGCAACATCCGTGAAATACCACACAAAGCCCTTTAACATGGCAACCAGACTGCTGACGGTAAGCCGCGCGTCAAAACACGGGCAATGAATGCGGAAACAAACGCTGGTCATCAAACCCTCACTGACGCCTGGATTCCGGTTTGGTATGTGGAGAAGACACCTACACGAGACGTTGCAACTTGTTATATCTGTGAATACTGGATTTCCAAACGAAAGCAGCGAAAGCACCACATAAATGCGAGGTCAGATGTTGGAATAAGAGGCAATGACTCAAGACCAGTGTTGAAACACGACGTGGCAGTGCGATAGGCCGAAAGCTGAAATAAAGCAATATTTCAAGACCATTTACTGATGGCACAACGACAGACACCAGAGCGCTTGCAGTGCCCCAGCGCGCAATACGATGATAAGGGGCCCCTTGCCCGAACTCGCGTCTATTGGCCGCGATAGGACCGGGGATAGACAGATAGTATAGCCGTGCCATGAAAGTAAAGCCGCCTCCCAGTCCCCACGACTACACCTGCTTGGACATTATGTATGAACAGCAGCGACGAACGGCGTCAATATCGTGGGTAGGACCGGCTCGGGTTCCGGTCGCTAGCACCAGGCATCATTCAGTAGGATTTCTCGGACCAAGCGCAACCGAGCCCTGACTAGCCTCCAAATAGACTCCTCTAGGCCACCGCCCAAACAAGTTGAAATGAAGGGAAGAAAAATTATTTCAAAGACATCCATGATAAAAACTTATGGCTTTGCACAGGGGCTGAAGCGAAACTGGTATTGACTCACTGGAAAGTTGAAACCGGACATCAAAACCCTACCGCGCAAGACAGATACTAAATAACAACACGTCGTTATCGGGTAGACGCCTCGAATCCGCATATAAAACAGCGCGACCGCGCGCCGAGCCGCCGGAGCGGGGACACACCGCTGCACCAGCCTGCCACCGAGCGTCGGGACTGCCGGGCCGCGCGGCACGCGACCGCCGCGCCGACCGCTCGCCAGTGCGCACCCTGAGGTCGTCAGGTCCCTGGGGCGGGCGCCAACCTCACAACCGTGCGCGCCGGCCGGCCAGACGCCTAGTCGACGCCGTCGAACACCTGCGGGGACTCGATGGCCTTGACCAGGCGGTCACGCAGCACCTGGTAGCTCTCGTACGCCGGCAGGTCCAGGCGGTTGAAGCTGAAACGAGGCGGGACCGATGAAGCAGGCGAGGGAGGCAGCGTTCGGCGGCGATGAGCAACGTGTAGGGGCAAGACACCGCTCATCAGACGCAGCGCAGCAGCAATCCCGCGCACCCGCAACACGACCCTGCTCAACGGCCCGGCGGCTGCAAGCCTCCCCACCCGGGAGGTCGGCCCCCACTGCGCGAACACTTGGCGAAACTCTGTGGCGGGCGCGCTTCATTCGGTGTTACATGGGGCGGGGCGTGGAGGTGGGTGGGAGAAGTGTCCACACCGCCTGCAGTCGGGCGCCGCGGGCCCGACTCGGCGGCGGCCCGTCCAGCTGGTGCCGCAGTCGGGCGTCTCACCAGGTGTGGGCGCGCGGGTAGTTGTTGGGCGCGCCCCACTTCTCGATGGTGAACAGCTGCGGCCCATTGCTGCCGTACAGCTCCTTGAACCCGTTCATCGGCACACGCGAGGTGCCCGTCACAAACTGCAGGAGACGCGCGCGCATCTCGTTGCTGAACGACAGCACCACCTGCAAACCCGGTGACGGCTGTGGTAATGGTCGATTTTATCACAAATGACGCCTCTATTAACCATCATTGACCAGTCTCACGCGTCTTGGAACGCCACAGCCTATACACAAAACGCCGTTCGCCCGATGGCCACCGGATCTTGGTTCTGACACACCTAATCAGCTGTGTTCAAGTTTGTCTAGAGAACACATCCCAGAGACCACACCACTAATGACCAAAGCGGTTCAATACGTTACAAGATGGCCTGAAGGGTGTGAGATCCTGCACCTATGATCACTGAGCGCCCGGACAGCCTGGCCGTAAGTGTGATACGATATCAAGGGAAAATGGGCAACAAAATACAAATGTGGCCACCTTCATTCACACCATGGAATTACCTCTCCGATATTCACCTGTGGCCCTCAACCCGAGGTGCAAACCTGTTGCCAAACCAAACTAGCTCCTTGGTACAGAACTAAGCTCGGTCGAGGTCGCTCGGTTGCATCAAAGATCACCTCAACGAAAATGGCGGAGAAGCAATACTGGAACAATCTCCTCCGACCCGTTCACTGACCATCTCCGCACTCCATCCGCCCTACCAACGGTCCTCCTCCAGCGCTGGCCAGAGCATACCCGCCAGAACCACTGGATGACGATGTGGTTGGCGTGGAAGTCGCCCTTGTAGACGGTGTTCTGCTTCCAGTTCTTGACGTCGATGTTGCCCAGGCCGCACATGAGCAGCTCCAGCTCATTCTCGTCGAAGATCTTGAGCAGCGGCAGCGGCACGATCTCGTTGAAGCCCTCCAGGAT